TCCCCTCTTAAGAGGTGAGACACAGAAGATGATGTAACATGCTGCCTGCAGAAAACTCTCTCCAGGATGGTTGCAAACTCACCAGCTAAAATACAGAGACCTCTATTTCATGTACTGCTGCTATGTAAGCTAAGTGAGCCAATCAGGCACTATGTACCAGAACAGCCTTTTCCATTACACCACTTCACAGGCAAAGAAGGGAGTGGTTTAAAGTGCCAGGAACCCTTTTTAAGGACTATGATCTGACAGAAGAGTCTTTTCTGCCACAGTTTCTGAAGGGAGCCTCTTCTTGTGAGGTGTGGAGTGGCCTGCCCCTCCCCGGAGCCAGTGGAGGGTATGCACAATACTTCATAGGATCAAACAGCAAGAACAGAAATACACAGACAAACTGATACTATTTTTACGGTGTGCTACACCAACGTTTAAAACAAAATGTTCTATTCCATCACACATCAGCACTTTAACCAAATACTGCACTTAAATAGGGTTTAGAATTCTATATGCATTTTCCTCTTGTACTTTTAAAAGAGGGTCAGTTTGCTGTAGTCACAATGTTGGACATTCATTCCATCACAATCCCCTGGAAAAGCAATGTTTTATGGATAGATACAAAATTTTAGTTTGGTCTCTGTGTGAGCATAGTCTCTCTAGTGTGTTAAATGCACACAGTAATTAGCATAGTAATACCATCTGGTATAGAAATGGCACTTTCTATCTCTGAATGGTATACCCACGTCAATATCACCCAGTAAAGAGCAGCACAATTCTGATTTCATGACAGCAATAGCATTTTTACAGAGCAGTGAAGCGAACTCACAGCATTTATATAACATTATCTTCCGCAGATCTTAAAACTTGTCCTTCTAAAGCATTTATTTCCCCTTTCTCCAATTTGCAAAATGGTACAAAGGAGTCACAGCCAGAGACTGCAACAAAAGTCAGATTTTCTATCTCCTAGTCCTGTAACCCTGTGATTTCTGTATTTATTGCTAGTACATTTAGTGTTTAAAGTTGCCCGTTACTTTATTCCACTGCCCCCACATAGATCATTAAAATTCCTGGGCACATGCTATTTACTGGGTAATATTGATTTGTATTTTATGTGGTCAATAATATCCAGTGAAACAAAATTTATGTTTTATATATTCTCCCTCTAACAAAAAAGTTCTACTTGACCATTTTCCAGTAGGATAGTAAATTTTATTCATCACCACTGTGATCGATAAGAGTCCAGTGAGATTTTGTAGCTCGGCTGGTCAATTCATCACCATTTTGCAAAGTTGATGTAATATTAACTCATACTTCCATAACTGAGAAAGATATATTCAGAGGTCAAACAAACAGCAACTGCACCATTGTATATGATGAGCACTACACTTTATTTCTGGGCTTGCAAGAGGATGCAAGGCTTATGTACACTTACTCCCTGCTAATGTGCAAGTGACCTCTACTGTCCAGTCAAGGAAGAGCAAATACCAACTTGTTCCAGGAGCAAGAAGGATGCTTGCCCCAATTTAGGGTCTTTTAACCCATTCAGCGCACTAATGTTAAAGTCTTGGGGCTTAAAACATCCGTAATAGGAAACAGGAAGGAAGGACATACATATTAAAGGACAGTCTGTTCTTGACTGTGAAATGGAATGTTGTCATGTTGGTACCATTTGCATACACAGACTCTGTATGCTCAAAATTCCCAAGTCTTCAGAAAAATCAATGCCTGCGACCTTTGCTTAAAAATGAAGCCACTTTGATTTGTACAGTGACATGGATTAATGTCATGAAACCAACCCACCTTCCAATTGTTTTGTTAAAAGTCTCTTTGTACAACATTTTTAAGAACTAGTCAGTGCTGTACAGATTAAAGTTTTATGAAAAAAACAACCCTTTCAACTCTCAATCTCAAATTAGTAGTCGTTTTGAAAGTCTACCACTAAAGTGGAAACACTGATAAATTTAGATAGTGCAAGCAGACCATGTGACGTCAGACTGTCCAGCAGGTCAATATGGACATGACAATCTAACTCCCGGCTCTTCAAATTTCTTCATCTTGTGTATTTCCAGAGAGTGTAGTTTTCTGGGGCAATTTTTTTTCCCCATCAAAAGCAAATTGTTCCTCCAAAACTAATACATATAAGGTGCAGTGCTTGCTCTCATTATCCTAATAGCCACGATTAATGCTATAGTATATTATCCATTTTTCCCTCTGGTGCCCCATCAAAAAAAAATTCTGCTGATTGTTGACCTAAGTAATGAGTTTTCTCTTGCAAATCATAGAATCATAGAATACTAGGACTGGAAAGGATCTCGAGAGGTCATCGAGTCCAGTCCCCTGCCCTCATGGCAGGACCAAGTACTCTCTAGACCATCCCTGATAGACATTTATCTAACCTACTCTTAAATATCTCCACAGATGGAGATTCCACAACCTCCCTGAGCAATTTATTCCAGAGTTTAACCACCCTGACAGTTAGGAACTTTTTCCTAACGTCCAACCTAAACCTCCCTTGCTGCAGTTTAAGCCCATTGCTTCTTGTTCTATCCTCAGAGGCCAAGATGAACAAGTTTTCTCCCTCCTCCTTATGATACCCTTTTAGAGAACTGAAAACTGCTATCATGTCCCCCCTCAATCTTCTCTTTTCCAAACTAAAACCCAATTCTTTCAGCCTTCCTTCATAGGTCATGTTCTCTAGACCTTTAATCATTCTTGTTGCTCTTCTCTGGACCCTCTCCATTTTCTCCACATCTTTCTTGAAATGTGGTGCCCAGAACTGGACACAATACTCCAACTGAGGCCTAACCAGCGCAGAGTAGAGCGGAAGAATAACTTCTCATGTCTTGCTCACAATACACCTGTTAATGCATCCCAGAATCATGTTTGCTTTTTTTGCAACAGCATCACACTGCTGACTCATTCAGTTTGTGGTCCACAATAACCCCTAGATCCCTTTCTGCCGTACTCTTTCCTAGACAGTTGCTACCCATTCTGTATGTGTGAAACTGATTGTTCCTTCCCAAGTGGAGCACTTTGCATTTTTCTTTATTAAATTTCATTCTGTTTACCTCAGGCCATTTCTCCAATTTGTCCAGATCATTTTGAATTATGACCCTATCCTGCAAAGCAGTTGCAACCCCTCCCAGCTTGCTATCATCTGCAAACTTAATAAGCGTACTTTCTATGCCAAAGTCTAAATCATTGATGAAGATATTGGAGAGCCGGTCCCAAAACAGACCCCTGCGGAACCCCACTTGTTATACCTTTCCAGCAGGATTGAGAACCATTAACTACTCTCTGAGTACGGTTATCCAGCCAGTTATGCACCCACCTCATAGTAGCCCCATCTAAGTTGTATTTGCCTAGTTTATTGACAAGAATATCATGTGAGACTGTATCAAATGCCTTAATAAAGTCTAGGTATACCACATCCACTGCTTCTCCCTTATCCACAAGACTCGTTATTCTATCAAAGATGTCAAAGCCAGATGTTGGGATGGGGTGAGGCAAATGTTTCAGCACCTGGGGTGACATTTACTCCTTCTGAGGCATCACAAAAACCCAGTCTGAGTTTCATCCTTCGGAAACAGCTTCCTTTAAAAAAATGTTGATGGTGAAGCTTCTGGAGGATATGCACCTTTTGATTTTTGCTTCGAGTGATTATATAGGCTAGACCAGTGATGCTCAATTTTTCCAGGCTACTGTACCTTTTCCCCCCCCAGGAGTCTGATTTCTTATATATCACCAAGTCTCACCTCATTTAAAAACTACTTCTTTACAATAATCAGAAATAAAAATACAAAATGTCACAGCACATTGTTACTGAAATATGGCTTGCTTTCTCACTTTTACCATGTAATTAATAAAACAAATCCAATAGGAATATAAATATTGTAATTTATATTCCAGTGCACAGAGCAGTATAAACAAGTTGGTGTGACATTTTAGTTTGTGCAGATACTACCAGTGCTTTTTACATAGCCTGTTGTAGAACTAGGCAAATATCTTCAGGTGTTAAGTACTCTTGGAAACGCATGTACCCCTGGTTGAAAGCTGCTGGGCTAGAAAAATATCCTTGCTTAGCTAGAATATAGCTTGCTGCAGCAGGTTCTCCTGCACAAGAGCCTTGCCTGCAGCCTCACAATTGTCCCTTAAATACCCACTGTTATTAAAAGCTTCTGAACTGTTACACAGCAAGCGGTGAGAGACAGAGACAAATCGTTACCATCCCCAATGCCAAGCAGCCTCAAGGTCATTTGTAATGTGGGAAAGCAGCAGTTGCAAGACTCCTCCCTCTACACACTCATGTCCTACCAGTCACTGACTTTTAGTAAGAGCCAGACGGCATAACAGACTGGATCTGACAAAGCGGGGAATCTGCTGCACTGCCAAGGCATTCTCTCTGCTTTGACCTAAAGCAAACTGTTCAGAGATGCTGCCTAATTGATCGCTCTCTTTTTAAACTGATGCTGTATTTCACCCAGTAGCGACAGGCTGTTCATTCGCTACCGTTCATTCAAACAAAAGAACACTAAATCTGTGTGTGTGTGTGTGTGTGTGTGTGTGTGTGTGTGTGTGTGTGTGTCACTTCCTCCCCCCCTCCAAATGTCCAAGACACTATAAGCATGAGGTTATTTAAGCCTCTAAAAACCCTGAGATATTGATATTGTTTCCCTCATGTCACCAATGCATTAAACAAGAGAAAGAGTGGAGCAAATCATCCATGATCACCACTCGATATAAAGGGGCAGACATGAAAATAGGAACCCAGGAATCCTGACAGCCTCACTTCTATCCATTGCAAACACTTTTCCCTTAAGAGCAAAATACAATGCTGCGAACATAGGTTGAGAAGAGACACAGACCTGCTTGATATTTGTGAAAAGGCTGACCTGCATTCTACAGCAATGGAATAATATTCCATTATCACTCCCAAGTGAGCAATAAAATGATCCTGCTTGAAGTGACTTGCACAGTCGAGCAGAGGCCTGCTTTATATTTAAAATTACCTGGTGGTGCCACTCGATCCTGATATTTAGGTTCAAATTCACTGATCGTGAACAACATCACTTGAATGGTCCCAATGAATATGCCAGCCAGGCAGCCATAGAAGATCAGGTAGAAGAGAAGGATCTTAACTGCAAGAGAACAGAGAGAATAATCAAGCCCTTGGTGCAACCATGTGTCAGACAGCGAGAAACATATTTGTGTGGTACCAGTGCCTAGGAGCCCTCGTCATAGACCGGGGCCCTGTACAAGCAGAACTATTTTCACATTTTATACATGTCACATTCTAACGTATTAAAGATTACAAGCCAACTTTTTTTGTTAAAAACATACGAAGGTTAGAAGTTCTTTAAAATTGTAAGAGACACTTGTTTCCTAGTTGCTTTATGAGGGGCTGGTTTTCAGCAAAGCAAGCCCCTGTGATAGTAAAAGACATCTTGGAAGTGCCTGTCCTTTAGATGTTCAGCACTGCCACAACCTCACTGACATCAGCTCCTTGTTAGCATTGAATCTTGGTGCTGGAAATTCCAAATGAATTAGCATTTCAAACTCCAATGAATTCCATAGGGATTTGGGTGCCTAATTCCTTTAGGATTCCTTGAGAAATCCCCACTCTTCAACTATGGGCCTAATCCCACACCCATTACAGCCAATGAGAGATTACTAGAAGCAGAATTAGGCCTCATTTTATGTATTGTCTAGTTGACTCCAGGTGCAGAGAAGGCACCATAGCATTGCTGTAGTTTGACAATTTCTTATAATGCAGCCAGGGTTTTATTTATCACACCATCCAGCTGAAACAGCTAATTATACAACCCGATTAAATCATGTTGAGTCTAAAGAAAAGGGAGGGTCTAAATCACACACACAAGACAATAAAAAGGAACACACCGCTACTTGGAATCTGGGTATCAGTTACTGGTTTACAAGGATTATCTCATCTGATTAACTGCATAGTAACATGCTGTACTAGGCATCACCAGGCAGCCTACAGGAAGGATAAAGCAGTCCATGCCAAGCAACTATATGCTAATCAAGAGACCAGTAACAGCAAAAGCAAATACAGTCAGAGGCAACAGATGATTTGAGAGGAAACCTATCTGACTTCAGAATGCCCTAGGTCTGACTGTCACTCTAAAACAAAGACTCCTCTGAATGGAGTGAAAATAGATGTGGGGGAGGGAAGCACAAGAGTTCTGGGAGAAGAAAGCTTTCCTCCAGTGCTCAATCACAGAAAAGCAGCCCAGTTCAAAATACAATTCCCTTCTCTGGTGGCTTTTAATTATTTTCAG